AGGGAAGACTGGAAAAAATCATACAAGCCCGGCGATATGAAAACAGAATCATCAATGAGATTAGGCACGGATTGCTCTAAATTGTCTCCATCAGGAGCATCTTCAAAAGCTTCGAAACCGCTGGCGACACTCCTTGCAGAATTAGGTTCTCCATTATATCTAGGTGTATAGAATGGTTCGTTTGGCATCTCTTTGTAATCATCATGATCACAATCTGTGTATCTCTCCAAAGGTCTATCGCGCCATGAGAAACTTTTACTTCTCCATGTAAAAGAATGAGATTTAAGTGACTTGGCATCATTTTGATCTCTGAGCTTAACAAAATTTGTCGACGGTAGAAAGAAAGAAAGTATAGATGATAAAGATCTACCCTCTTTGGTGTATGGCCTGGCCTAAACACAGAGAAGCACAGTGTCACAAATAATAGGTCAATCAAAGGTTGCATATTAAAATACTTTAGAAAACAGTAAGTCTCCTGATATGGAAACGCAAAGGGGAAAAAAGTCTCAGAATTTCTGCTTGAATAAACCAAAATCCTACCTCAAAAGGATCAAATAGGAAAATATGTAGGATGTTGCTCAACTTAGCAGAAAATTGAAATCAATGGACTTCAGTTAGAATGTCCAGTGTTCTTTGCGATAAAAGTTTTGTTCTTGGAACATGATAAAGCTTGCTGGTGTGGCTATATAAATCCTCAATATCCGTGTCACTCATTTTGGACCTGTTTCATGCCAATACACAATAACTTGGAGGTCTTTAACATTAGAGGTTCTCTGCACTTTCTACTGACATACAAGTCTCAAAAAGACTTCAAAGACACCTCGCAAACACCTAATGTAAGTACACCAACATGACTAGTGCTTAACTCAACTTGTCTTTTGTTATCAAAAACTAAGGAACGGGTTATATTTTTTTTTTAACCAAGGAAATCCCCGAGCGTCCGCACAGTTCGAAACTCTGTGGATAATGGGCATATGCTCCTCTACCCTTATCCACTTAAATACTAGGCTTTGTTTGCGACTCTGCGCAAGATTCTGACTCATGATATGCGCCTAATCCACAACATCGTGTAGCGCTCTTAACACTAGACCAAAGCCCCATGGAAAAGCAAACAATAATGAAAACCAATCAATCCTTCTAATAAGGAAAGAAAAATAATTCCCATCACATAATACATAGTTCTCTCTATCTTTATTTTTAAGGACAAACAATTTAATTTTAATACATTCAGATTAGTCAGCTCATTAAGGGATCATCAAGATTCAAACTTTAATATTGAAACTACAATGTTCTTCCTCATATGCCTACAAATTAGTGGTCCGAGTTACCCGGTATCTCTGTTGGCAGGAGATTTGCAGTGAGCGCAAGCTGGCCGGGACACTACGTTAATCAAAACAATAATATCCAAACTACAATGACATTGCTTAATAATCAAAATATCTACCTCAAAAACAGATTAAAAGCAAAGATCTCAATCTCATAACAACATACTCATACAAAATATAGGGGTTTTTATAATAAGAATTTGAAATAGAGAAAGAGAGAAAGGAGAGAAAAAGAACCTGAACAGGAGGTTGTTGATCAGAAGATTTAGAAGGAGAATCAGAAAAAAGACGTGAAAGCTTCTCAGAAACTGTATCTTTTATGGCATTCATAGCTTTTTTCCACTTTCTTTCCTTTCCCCCCCTATTTTTAGCTGCTACCCAATTCAGAAGCTTTAAAATTGAGAACAAACAATGGTTTTCTTTTTTTAAAGAACGTGAATGTAGAAAGGGATGCTTATTATTTTGCTGTTTTTAGTTATGTGCATGAGGGGAAAAGGAAAGAACTTTGGATGGAGAAGGGAGATTGTCCAGTTGTCCCAACAGCCGAAAGATCAGAACTTCAAAAGAAAGAAAGAAAGAAAATTTCATCTGTCCGAATTTATTTATTTTTCAAAAAAACAAAAAAAAAATGGTTTGCTGTCTTTTATCGCTGATTTTTATGGTTGTGTGTATCTTTTTTTTGATGAGTAATTTTTTTTAAATCACATAAATATTATATTAAAAACTATATTTGAGTTATAAAATAAGAGTTTAACCACCTTAAATTGATGAATAAAATAATTGAGCACGGTAAGAAGTTTAATTAGAATAATTTGTTCGTATCAATAATTTTGATAATAACAAGAAAAACTCAAAAATTTATTTACACAATTGACAATGAAAGAGAATAAAAGCTTTTAAAGGATAAATTTCATGCATGATAAAAAATACTAATTATTTAAAATAGAGGTATATTTATAATATACATTATATATGGTTGAAAACTTTACTCAATTATTTTCTTCCAATATTAATACATGCCTTGAAAATTATTTTTTTCTTTTTAAATTTATAAATAAGATTTATTTATTTTATAGGTAAGTCCATAATATAGAGTAAAACGAGAAAACTTATAATATTCAAAAAGTATTACAAATATAAAAGTTGATACTTTAAAGAGTAAATATGGATTTGACCACCGAAAGTTTGAGAAATCTAATTGAATAATTTTTTAAGTGATATAAAAATAGTTAAATGACTTTTCTGTTACAAACAAAATAAGCACAACCTTACTAGATAAGTTTAGATAATTGAGTAATTTTTGAATAATGAACTCTAAAAATATAATTACGCCATTTAGGTTAACATGATTACTATTTACTAGATTCGATGTTTTGGATTTAATCAGATGGGACATATATGAGGAGTGACTGTAGATGAAAAGGGAAACAGAGACTAAAAGACAGACAAAAGTAAAAGCCTAGAATATCGAAGATGTTATCGATTTATATTCTCCGTATTAGGACATAATTTATACTCTGCTCCAATTTATTTGATGTGACACTATTTTCATATTAATTTGTACAACAATAATAATATATTTTGATATTTAAGAATAATTTAATTTTTTTTTTTGGTAAATAAAGAAACTTTTATTACCAAGTATAACAGTACAAAACAAAAAAGCAAGATTTGGACAATTGCCCCAAACATGCTAATCCCAGCAAACTTCTATTTTACATATTTATACGATTGAGTCTTTGGATTTCCGAAAGAGTGTAAAAAAAAGTGTTTGGAATCATTGTTATTTGACTTGGACCTGTTCTAAAAAAGTCGAGGTATTTCGAATTGTTTGTTGACACGGACAAAGTTAGGAAAAACCTCTGAAATTATTTCAATATTGAACCTTGGACGTATAAGAGTTCCGAATCGAATCTCTTTAGAAAGAAGATCTTTTGTCTCATGGTAGCCTGCTCCAATCCCCTTACGAAACTTTCGTTATTGGGTTAGCTATACACTTTACATGTTTCTAGCGATTCACATGACATCATCAAATGATACAAGTCTTGGATAAGAATCTACAACGCACTAGAACGCCCTTGTTTACGATCCTTTACTCCAACAGCATCTAGGGTTTCTCGAACAATGTGATATCTCACACTGGGTAAATCCTTAACCCTTCCCCCTCTTACTAAGACTACAGAATGTTCTTGTAAATTATGGCCAATACCGGGTATATAAGCAGTGATTTCAAATCCAGAGGTTAATCGTACTCTGATAACTTTACGTAAGATTGTTGTACTATCCTATTAGATCAGCTCAACATCTAACTAGGATAAAAATCAAACTGTTCCAAACCTCTTGCTAATCTACTTTTCATTGCCCCCCTGCAATATACTTATTGTACGAGTTGCCTAATTATTATCGCAGGTGTTCTTTTACTTGTTATGAAATAATTTCATGTTCCTTTCTTGCCAAATAAGATATACAGCACCAGGTAGTGTCATTCTAAAGATCACAGCTTGCACGTTCTTTCCCCTAGCATGAGTAGTTGCCCAACTGATTTCTCCATTAATCCAGTTTTGTACAGTTTGATAGATTCCTAGCCATTGTAATAGTTTACTCCAAACATTAGTAGAGAACTCACACAGAAAGAAGAGATGATCATGACTTTCATCAGCTAGACCACACAGAGGACAAACCAAGTAGTTATCAATATAATTTTATTTTACTCTTGATAATATGCTTTTTATAGCTAAGAAATCTTAGTTTCACAAATCAAATTCCCAAAGTATGCATCTTTATTCAACAACAAAAAAAAAATCCAAAAGTATTTGTTTTTCCCTTAAACTCTGTAGTCTAGCTAGTCAACATCTTCTATAACTAATACTACATACGTACTATTTTCAGAATTTTCAACATTGTTCTAAATACACTTGACTTAGGATCTCATTATAATCCATCATAATATATTCTAGACGTGCTTGACCAGTCGTAAAGAAAACTTTTCCAAAAGCATGGGGTTTTTGCTAGGGTAAAAGTACATTCCGGTGTACGAAGTATCACGCACTCACGCAGGATCCGAGGAAGAGCAACATCCCAAGAGATATTATGTAGGCAGCCTAACTTGATACAAGCATCTGTGTACGAAGTATCCTGCACTCACGCAGGATCCGAGGAAGAGCAACATCCCAAGGGATATTATGTAGGCAGCCTAACTTGATACAAGTATCAGTACTGATTGATTCTACTGCTCAAACTCATAGCCCAGGGGCGAAGCTATATTGGCCCAAGGGTGGTCAACTGACGTATAAGGTAAAATATTACTTGTTATTGATTAAAAATAGACTTTGAACACCTTGCATAGCTTACTGGCAAAGGGTGTTCAAAACTTGAACATCCTTATTGAATTTCCTGGCTTCGCCACTGCTATAGCCTATAGGTTACACTGAAATTAACTTTATCCTTTCCCGAAGGTCCCTTTGAATTTTTGCTAGGGTGAATTACCTAAAACTTTATTCAGAGACCGTATAGAAGACATCTCTAAATTGGGTAAAGGAAGTCCAAAATGGAGTGCTTTGAATGTTGAAATTGAATGAAGTGGACCTGTTGACTGAAATCTAAAGTCTCACTTCATTTTTCCTACAAATACCATCTAAAATTTCACTATACCAACACAGCTCAAAATAACTTTCTCAACTAGAAACTTTATCCTTTAGCTCAAATTAACCTTCTCATTTATTTTAGGCAAAAATATTTATGGGTATTACCACATATACACAAGATATTGCAACTCTAGTTGCTCCTGATAGGGTTTTCAAGGCTTTGGTTCTTGATGCAGAAAACGTTGTACCAAAGTTAATGCCAAAAGCTGTGAAAAACATTGAGATTGTTGAAGGTGATGGTGGTGCTCAAAGCATCAAGAAGATGAACTTTGTTGAAGGTTACTTTTCTTCTTAGCTTTTAGGTTTACTAATTCATTTCAAATCGAGAATCTTGATTTTCGTAGTGGTTAACGAAAGAAATGAAATAAACAGTTCTTTAAGCTAAAAGTTGCTGTTTAAAGTTTTTCGAAAAAAAGATTTTGCCTTAAAAGGTTAAAGTGGTTCTATTATCATAGGTTGTGTGAACTGTCAGACAATGAACAACTCATTTATATGATTTGTTAGTGCAATGATCAACTTTTTATATAATTATCTAGCTATAAAAAAAAAGAGGTAGCTATAATATCATTTAATCGATGAAAAAGTGAGAATTTCTTCCCTACAAGAAATGAGATTTTCCATGGCAACTTTACGTGACAATCCCTTTACTACGAAAAGTCTTTTTTGACAACTTTTCCACTTCTTATGGCCACTTTCCTTGCATACATTCGGTTTCTTCTTGTGTTTCTTTAATTTCATAAAATTTTATATCATTAAAAGCACAAAAGTAAGCTAGGAAGCTGAAAAAATAAGTCAATTATAACTTCTCCAACATGAAGAAAAAATAAATTTAATAAACGACTTATAGTACTCTAATTAAATAGGAATAGCAAGAAAATAATCTTCCTTATGAAAATGGCAGGATATCCGATAAAGTACTTGAAACACAAGATCCATATCGTCGACGGCAAGAACATGGTAATCAAGTATTCATTGATCGAAGGAGAAGTTCTAGGAGAAAATCTTGAATACATTTCGTACGTTGTTAGTTTTGAGGGATCTGAAAATGGAGGCTGTATTTGCAAGACAATAAGCAACTACCATACCAAAGATGATTTTGTGGTAAAGGAAGAGGAGATTAAAGAAGGTGAAGAGAAAGCTGTGGAACTTTTCAAGGCTGTTGAAGCTTATCTCCTTGCTAATCCTTCTTCCTATGCTTAATATATACTTTTATCAACTCTTCAAAAGTTCCAAGATTAATTAATTTTTGGCATTTTGGCTTGAAGTTGTCTACTTTATGTTGTGTTTTCTTGAGGTATTATTATGAGATCTTTACATAAATAGTCGGACGGATGATTACTTTTCTTAGCTGGTATACATTGATCATATACGGTTACACATATATTATATATGGATTAGATATATTTTATATATGCGCCAAATACTTTTAATTACGTATTGGGTGAGAGGCTATTTAGGTTAATTCTTCTATTATATTTATATTATTAACAAGTATGATATATATATATATATATATATATATATATATATATATTCACTCATGTTCTAGACTCGGTTCTCTTAGTGATAAGTTCATTGATACGCAAACGAAATATAATACTCTTTTCGTTTCAATTTATCTAAACTTATTTGACTGGGCACGAAATTTAAGAAACAAGAGAAGACTTTTGAACTTGTGGTGTAAAATGAGGTACGTATATTTTGTGTGGCTATAAATCATTATATAAAGGTAAATTATTTTTAAATATAGAAAGATGTCATTCTTTTTTGCACGGACACTACTAGAAATCAGGTGATTTCCGCCCAAGGCTTTCCGACCGAAATCGGTCAGAAAAAAAATCCGACCGAAATCGGTCGGAAATAAGAGTATTTGGTCGCAAAAGTCAACAAAATTTTTGTGACAGCAAAAAAATAAAAATTCCGACCGATTTCAGTCGGAAATTGGTCAAATATTTAGTCATACTTGTATATAATGTACAAAAATAATTATTTGTTAAAATTTTTCCAAATTTTCGACCGAATTCGGTCGGAAATTGGTCAAATATTTGGTCAAACTTGTATATAATGTACAAAAATAATTATTTATTAAAATATTTCCAACTTTCCGACCGATTTTGGTCGGAAATTGGTCAAATATTTGGTCAAACTTGTATATAATGTACAAAAATAATTATTTATTAAAATATTTCCAACTTTCCGACCGATTTTGGTCGGAAATTGGTCAAATATTTGGTCAAACTTGTATATAATGTACAAAAATAATTATTTATTAAAATATTTCCAACTTTCCGACCGATTTTGGTCGGAAATTGGTCAAATATTTGGTCATACTTGTATATAATATACAAAATAATTATTTATTAAATTTTTCCAACTTTCCGACCGATTTCGGTTGGAAATTGGTCAAATATTTGGTCATACGTGTATATAATGTACAAAAATAATTATTTATTAAAACTTTTCCAAATTTCCGACCGAAATCGGTTGGAAAGTTTGAAATAATTAATTCCCGCCCAAGACAAAAATTATATATATTTAATTAAACAACCGAAATAAGTTATAATTAAATATTTCCGACCGATTTCGGTCGGAAAAATAATTTTAAAATAATTAAAATATAAATTTATGAATATTTGTGTGTGTGTGTGTGTGTAAATAATAAATAACTTTTAAATAAACAATATTTAATACTTATTTGATATATNATAATTTTTGAATTTATTAATAACAAAGAACAATTGCGGAAGTAAAGTCTGAAATATATTGAATAATTCATAAAAAAATAACAGTGTCTAAATACCATCCCAGAATTGGTGTCACAAGTGCACGAGCTTATAAAATAATACAAATAAAGGCCTGAATAAAATAAAGCTGTCTGGAAACAAACACACAACTAAAGTAAATTAGACGGGAACTTCAGAACTGCGAACGCCGTGCAATTATACCTCAAGTCTCCTCTGAGTAGCTGAAATCCGAGCAAGTCTATGGCACGCCGCTGGGACCAACTCCGAAATCTGTACAAGAAGTGAAGAGTGTAGTATCAGTACAACCGACCCCATGTACTGGTAAGTGCTGAGCCTAACCTCGACGAAGTAGTGACGAGGCTAAGGCGGTTCACTTACATTAACCTGTACGCAATATTAATAACAACAACAAATGATAGAAATAAATCAGGTAACTTATTTATAATAATCGAAGCCAACTCAGCAATCATAATCCATTATTATTTCAACCAATTCTGTTGCAGCGTGCAACCCGATCTCACAATATATTCACATTCAATTCTGTTGCAGCGTGCAACCCGCTCTCCCAATATATTCCTTTTAATCAAGTCTGTCATATATTTATTTCAATCAAGTATATATATAGACTTTTAAATAAGTCTGTTGCGGCGTGCAATCCGATCCCTCATTATTGACTTTTAAATAAGTTTATTACGGCGTGCAATCTGATTCTCCAAATTAGATATATTTACTTTCATTTCCGTTGCAGCGTGCAACCCGTTCCCCCAATATATATAACTTTAAACAGCTCATAATATAAATAAAAGTTACTCCAATAAATACCACATCCAATGAGAAACTATTAAGCATCAATGCACACAATGATTACAATTTATTTATAAACAAACAATGGCAACAATAATTTATTTTGGAAATCAGGGAGAAAATAGGCAGTTTAATATTTAATATGCTAAATGTCAAGTAGGAATTAGTGCACATAATTCAAATAAGTATGTAGCAATTATTATAAGAATTTAAGAATTAATATTTGGCAAAGAATAGGAGAGAAACAATTATTATAACAATTAATTCATGTATTAAAACAAATTTAGGATTTTTAAATAATTATGCAAACAATTAATTTGACGACGTATAGGCACTCATCACCTTGCCTATACATCGTTCACATGCAATTCATATAACAATTAATTTAAGAATTCTATTCCCTCAAGTCAAGGTTAACCACGATACTTACCCCGCTTTGCAAATTTCAATCAATTACTCAACCACAACTTTTCCTTTTAAATTTATCTCCAAAAGTTTCAAATCTATTCACAAACAATTCGATATATTCAATACTAATCATAGGAATTAATTCCATATGAATTTATAAATTTTTCGGATAAAAATCCAAAATTTATTAAAATATTTGACAGTGGGACCCACGTCTCAAATCCCGGAAACACTCACGAAATACGAACACCCGTTCCGCTACGAGTTCAACCATATAAAAATTATCCAATTCCGATATCAAATGGACTTTCAAATCTTAAATTTTAGTTTTTTGGAAGATTTTTGAAAAATCTGATTTTTCTTCCATAAATTCACGAATTCATGATATAAACGAGTATGGAATCATGAAATATAATCAATATAGGATAAGGAACACTTACCCCAATGTTTTTCGTGAAAATCTATCACGACCCAAAATCCCACCACAGGCGTCGTGATGGCACCTAGTCTCTAAGACTAGGTAAACTGTTTTCAATTGCATTTTGAAGCCATTTTTTTTTTAAAACTAAGTAATAAAAACTAACAACGAAATAAATATGAATATACAACCTCCCAAGACTGGTAGTACTGAGTCACGAACTCTAACTGAATATATGGAATGATCACGAGGACCGAATATACAATACTGTTTGATTACAAATTAACAGTACAATGAAATAAAAAGACTCCAAGGGACTGCGACGACCAAGCAGCTCTACCTTGAATCCTTACGATCCCGCTTTAACTCTGCTCAAGTCCGATATCTTCAATACCTGGCTCTGCACAAAAATGTGCAGAAGTGTAGTATGAGTACACCACGGTCGGTACCCAGTAAGTATCAAGACTAACCTCAATGGAGTAGAGACGAGGTACAGTCAAGACACTCACTAGTCTAATAACCTGTGCAATATAATATACAAAATAATAGGAAACAAATAATAATAAGGGCAGGATAAAACAACCAGTGATATGCATAACAAACAACAAGAATACCATTAATATCACTCAATAATTAATAAACACAATTACACCCAAATAAATCAAGCCCTTCAAATAAATATCTTTCACATATAATTCTTCCAGATAACTCTCTTTCAAATATAATTTTCTCAAATAATTATTTTTCAAATATAATTCTTTCAATAAATCTTTTCAAATATAATTTCCTCAAATAAATATCTTTCAAATACAATTCTTTCATATAATACTTTCTAAGTAAAAATCCTTCCAAATAAATATTTTGAATATAATT